CCTGCCATCTCCGTCTCTCTCTTCTCGCTGTGCGCTCGCGCGATTACGCTCGCCTCGCTTCGCCTTCTATTAAATTAAAGTCGAATGCAACGGCTATGAGCTAACGCCTGTCGGATGCCGAAAACTGTTCTGTCTCTCTATTTTTCTTTGTCGTTAATTTCGTTGGCGTGGCTTCTTTTTATGGGCTTCGGGAAGAGCGACAATCGTCATTTTTAATTTTTCGATGAATTTCGATTTGGAGAAGCGCGCGGCGCTAACTTTGCGCTAATTTTGCGCCTCGTCTACCGGCGGAGTGGCATTCGGGAAAGAAAAAACTAATGGAACGCGCGTAGATTCTCCGCTCGGTGGAAATTGCACGATTCGTTTGTACGTTCCCCAATGCGACTCGATGCGACTGCTGCTTTGACAATTTCACTTTGGGACCTTTAAACCGCGGCAAATCGATATCGTTTCTGCTACGCAGCGAAGCTCGACATTCAAGAATGCTCCCGAGATATCGCATATCAACCTTCGCTCTTGCAATCAACTAGGTTAAAGCTCTCTCTCTCTTTCTTTCTCTAATTGATAAGAAATTTAATTTGTCGCGCCACTCAGCGTATCGGAATTCCCATCGAAACCTCGAGCGGCGCTGAAATTTTCCTATTTTCATCTCTCGTAACGCGGTTTAGTGGATTCCTCGAACGTTCATTATGAGTGTCTTTTTTGCTCGTTATCGAAGTGAGCGAGAGAGTGAGAGAGAGAGAGAGAGAGGACGGGGGAGGGGGAACCAAAGTCAAGAAAGCTATGACCTACTTGAGGCAGAGCAGTAAGTAACGCCATAAGCAAAGTGTCGACCTTCTGCTTCGCTTATGTTGGAAAATTGGCGGAAGTCTCCATTGTTTGCTCTCTCTCTCTCTCTCTCTCTCTCTCTCTCTCTCTCTCTCTCTCTCTCTCTGTTCCGCGACGAAGAAGACGACAACGCTGTGGCAGACAATTAGCCGCCGATCACCACGAGCTTTATCACGTAACGAAAATTGGGAGCCGACGGTAAAAGCTCTCTGGCTGCGAAGAGCTCAGCCAATTGCGCAATGACAGCCGGTTATGTCATTAGTGCTGCCGCAGAGTAATACGCCACTGAGCACAAGGCTAAAGTCGCGAGCGCGGCCTGTGTATCGACGACAACTCGCGCTCGTTTCCCTCCGCCTGTCCTCGGCAGCAAGGAATTCCCGGATAATCGTTCCTTTCGCCCCGTTGCCGCGATCATTATAAATAGAGCCCCTTGGCTCGCGCGCGTCGCCCTGGCACGCTCGCTTTCGATATTCCGCGAGCCGATGTGCGCCGCTGCACAAAAAAGCTTGGCCGCGCGCTACGGAAACCCGCGAAACGTCGCGCGAGCGCGTTACGTAAGGATATTCGAGCGCTGCTATTTTCGTGCCGCGGCGACCGATCAATTATTCGCAGCTATCGAATGCAATGCCATCCTCGCGCTTATTCGACACGAGGATGCAGCCCGAGCACGGAAAAGAAAAACAAAGCAACAATGCGAGCGACTTTTTCCAGGTGAGGAAACGTTGCGCTTTCGCAATCGCCTCTCGCGCAGAACCAACTTTCTCGCTTCGAACGAGAGAAGACGACAAAAGGAAGAAGAAGAAGAAGAAGAAGAAGAAGAAAGAGCGTGACGCCCTGATTTCGAGAGGTCGAACGACGACGTCGCCGTTATCCTAAAAACGCGACGATCGAATGCGCTCGCGAGAGCAAGCTGCCCGTGCACGCGCGCAAGCCGTCGGCTGCGCCTAATAATAGCCGAGAAGACGGAGCGCGCGGGGCGGCAGAGCGAGGAGAGAAGCCGGCCGGAGCAGCGCGCTATTTTCGCCGCCGAGCTGCCAAAAATGCACGCGCGCTCGCGAGCTTCTGCGGCGACCACCACCGCCGCCGCCACCACCACCACCACCACCACCACCACCACCACTCTCTCTCTCTCTCGATTACGTGAAATTAGCCGCCGAAGCGCAAAGCCATTTTTCGCGCTTTCTCGACTCGGCGGGCGCGCGATCGATTTTTCAATGGCCCGGAAGAGCAGCTCGAGCGCGTGAATGGGAAAGGCTCGCGGGCACGCGCGCCGAAATAGACAGCATCGATTATTTCATCTTGCCTTTTCTCACCCGATAGCTCCGGCGCGCCGCGAGACGTCCGCAAGCTGCCGGCGGCGAGCGAGTCAGCTGACCGATCGACGCTCTCGCGCGCGCAGCTGATTTTGACAGCTGGCGCGCGCGACGCGACCTTCGCGCGCTGAGCGGATAACAATGGGTCTGGCGCGCGCGCGCTCTCCAACTTACCAGCCGCCGATGACGATGAGGCTGCCCGCGCGGCCGCGAACGGCACGCGACATTGTCCGCCGGTTGTCGCGGAGCTGCGGGCTCGCGACGACTGCGCGGCGGAGCAACACGCCCGGAGCCGGCTTTTGCGCGCCAACTCGCGACGCTCTTATCTAATCTTATCTGTCACGCGCGTTAGTCACTGCCGCACAGGAAACTTCCTCGTGGAATCTTAATTAGGCGCGATACGTAGCGTGCGCGCTCTGCTTGTGGCTGCCAAGGACCGGCTGCTTTCGCACCAACGGAATCGCGACGGCGACTTCGGTTAGCTTCGATTGGCGTTCGTCAGTAGCCGAGGCAATTTACGACGCCGAAAACACGGCATGCGCGAGCTCGCGACTGACGTCAGAGATCTCCGCTCTCTTCGTTGATCATTCGTCCTTTGATCGCCAAACTCTCCAAGTTGTCCTCGGACGCAACCCTCTGGCGACCGATCAATAATTCGCGTGCTCGTGTTCCCACTCACTCGCTCAACCCCCCCCCCCCCTCCCCTCACTCTGACCTTGTCAACTGCAAAAAGAAAACGCGAGACTGATTGTCGCGTTACATCGAATTAATTCATTATCTTCCTCGCACGAATTCAATTTCAGACGAGATTAAAAAGGATTTAACGTGGGTGTGCGTCATGAGCGAGTGAGCGATTCACAGAACTGTTATTTAAAAAGGAAACAACGATTTTTAACGATGACAGGGGCAAAATCTCATAGTCTCGTATGCGAGAGAAAGAAAGAGGCGTTGTAATCGAGTGCTCGTTGCGTTAAAAAAAACTCGTAAAAAAAAAGCGAGAAATGATAGTCCTATCGGCGCGCGTGCGAGAGACACCGAGAGAGCGAGAAAGTCAACGCGAAGGATTTCATCGTCGCTAGTTGTAAAGGCACGATTTGATCAGACCTCCCTTGTAGATTCGAAATTAAATTCTCAACGCTGCTGGTGCACCCTGTTGTTCGCTTGCTGTTTTTTGTCATAAGTAATAAATGGTGATTCTTTTTCAGTGTTGTTTGTCTTTATTCGTTCTCAATGTACAAATTAACAACGATTGCAAAAATCGAGAAGGAAAAAAATGCACAAAAAAAAAAAAAAAATTTTTTTTTTATGTGCAAAAAAAGAAAAAAAATGTTGATGCTGCCAATGATTGGTCAAGAATTGCAAGTTTTCAGTTGCAGGGCCATCTCTTTGTTCCGTAGACGTGTGCGTGCTGCTGAGGATCCTCGTTGGTAACGCCCTCAGAAAACTGAGATACCACCAGCTGTGTTCACCCGCTTCTTTACCAACTGAGTGAACGCAGAGTGGCTCCCTGTTCTCCAAGTGCGTCAATTTCGCTATTTCTCTCCGCTCTCGCTCGCTCTATCTCTTGCTCGCACACATTTTATCTCTCTTATCGTGCTGCCTTCGATCGCCCTTACCGACGACACCACCTTCGCGTCACGTCTCGCTCTCTCTTTCTCTCTCTTCGGCCAATCCGCAAAGCTTTCGCTTCCATCATCATCATCATCATTATCGCACCTTAAAAAAAAAAAAGAAAAAAAATACCTTCCTGTTCGTCTGCCTTCTCTCCCCCTGCCCCTCTCCGAATCTAAGGCTTCGCTGCTGCTAACGACTTTTTCGTAGCGCTCTCGCGAAATATTCAGCGTAGAAGTCGCGGAGGTGGCGCGCGTGCGCGCGTGCGCGCGTGCGCGCGCGCGAAGATCGATGAAGCTCAAAGGACGGAAGGCCAGGCCTTCAAGGTCGACAGCGCGTTACAGCAACACGGGCGCTCCGAGTCTCTCGTTCCGCTAAAGTCGGCGCTCGCTCGTTTCGCCGGAAGAAGCCGCGAGCAGCAATCTGCCGCGGACGAGGCGACGAGGATCAACGACTATGCTGGCGCCGACGGGTTCCGCGGGCGAGAGACGTGGGTCGCGCGACAAGACGACGCGACAGCGGCGCAGGCCGATATGGCGCGGAGAGATATGCGTTTTACGGGCCGGAATGCCAGCGATCTACGCGCCGTCTGCCGCTGAAGCGTGACCGCTATCGTCATGCGGGAAGATGAACCGTGCGAGCCAACGTCACGCGAGATCCCATCATCTCGCCGTGAATATTTTAGCGCGCGCGCGCGCGAGAGCGCGGCAAACGTGGAATAGAAGGCGGAGAGGCATTTATTTATTTTTTTTTTCGCTCGCTTGTGCCGCGCTAATAATTCAATGGAAACAAGTCGATAACCGCTGAATCATCGCTACAGAAGTCAACGACGACGGGCACGAGGTCGAGAAGAGGTAATCGTCAGGAGACTTTCGTAGCATGGTATTTACGGCAGCACTATTAGCCCGTTGGGTATACGTGGCGCGAGAGAGGCACTTTGATGGGCAATTCCCTCAGCGTCGCGGCGAGATTTATACTGGAGTAGGAATGACATTGCGACGTAGTGAAATTTCACGATCGCTCGGGGATGCGGCAAAGCGAGGCTGGGAGCAGATTGATATTTCGGGCGGCCTCGGAGCAATCGATGCATTTAAGCAGCGCTGCGGTTTAACTTGAGTGCATGTGAATGGAGAATGCTCGACATGAGAAGAACTCGGCGAATAATGGTTCCGACACTGTGAGATGGGGTACAATGAACGAAGAGAAGAAGAGGATATTTTTCATGTGGCGTGCGTTGCCTCTACTTACAACCGACTGCTTGGCTCGTTGCTGGCTTCGTCGCCTTCGATCCGGTACACCTTGCCGGACATCACGTACTCGAAGGAATTCGCTCTGGAACCACTCTCCATCTCGGCGGCATTCCACTCGCCGCCGTCCGGGTAGCCATCTTCGCGCAGCGTAGTCGCCAGCACCAGGCGGAACTTGTCACCTGCGAACAGCCCGAAGCACAGGAACATTCAGCACGCGCTCGGATTCGCGCGACACGTCGACGCCGGGCTACCTGTCGCGACCACCCTTTCCCGCGCAGCCTTCGCGACGATCCGCGAAGGCTTCCCCGGGAATTTCGGTCGACTAACGCCAGCCAAACTGGACGTGGACGCGAGCGCGCGCGCGTACTTGGTCCGCCTGCCATATTCCGAGCAATTTTCCAATTGACGAGCGAGTCCTCGCGGCGACCTTGCTCCTCCGCGGCAAACTCGCCCGCCGCGTGACGTCGCGCTGCTCTCACACGGGCACACGCGCGCACACACTCAGACTGCCGCGCGATTGCCAAGCGAGCGCAAGAAGAAAAAAAACGGGAGAGCCACGGGCGACGATGGCTGCGGCGAATGTCAAGGCCGCCGAAAAGACGAGCGCGGCGTTTGGAGCGCCGCGCCCCGATCGCCACACGCACGGCTGCGGGATACTCACGGGTCCGCGGACTGCAGTGGATGCGGCGCGAGCGGAGGTCGGCGGCGACGGTGATGCGGCCGAGCTCGAGTCCCGCGGACGACAGAGTTCTCCGCCGAGAGGCTCCAACTGGCGCGCACACGGCCAGCGGCACGGCGCGGCACGGCAGCGCCGACCTTGGCATTAAACTTGAAGGCTTGCCGAGGGGGCGAAGCGCCGTGCGGGCGGCCGGCCGAGCCGCGGCGAGAGCGCGCTCGAGTCGCGCGAGCCGCGCTGGTGGGAGAGGCCCCCGTTGCGTCACCTCGCGCAAGCGGAGCGCGCGGCGCGCAAGCGCCCGGCCGCCCGCCGCGGCGCGCGATATCGACGGCCGGCCGAGCGCGCGACGCTCGCTCTCGCGCCGCCTGGCCGTTTGTTTTCTTGCCGCGCGGCTCGGGGGCCCGCCGAGACGTCCTCCCGCCGCGCGATGCGTCTCGAGGAGCAGCCTCGGCTGCGGCGACCTTGTCGGTGGTCGACTCGACGTTTCCGCGCGACGATACCCTCGGACCCGGACGTTGGGCGCCGGCAACGTCCCTCGGCGCCGAGTGAAAGGCGCGAGCGCCGGGAAGCCGGCCGCCGAGGGCATCTCCTCCACGGCGATGGTCGAAAATAGTCGCGTGGCAGCAGTCCGGTGAACGCCGCGAAACGGGCCGCGAAACGGGCCGCGAGGCCAGCCAACTTACCCAGCTCCATGGGATACAGCCAGCTGTTGATGTCGAGTATGAGGTCCATCTTGAACGACTCCGACTCGCAGTGCAGCCGTATCACTGTAACGAATAAGAGGAGCGAGCGTCATTTTCTTTTCTCTCGGTTGACCGGAAAGATGATAAAGGAGAGCGAAGCGACGAGGCTGGCGGCAGCTGCTCGCGCGCTTACGCCGATCGAGCGCTGCTCCGCACGTGTGCATGCACGCGCGCGCTCGCTGGGTGTGCGTGCTGGGGCCGCGCGGGCATCGTCGTGACTCATGCAGATGGCGCACGCGAAAATACACATGTGTCGAGCGCGTGGCCGCCGCCGCCGACGCCGCCGACGCCGCCGACGCCGCCGACGCCGCCGACGCTGGAACGCGCGCTGCTCTTTCTTAGCCAGGGCCTCCTCGCGCGACAACGAAAGCTCGGCTCGGGACCACGGGGACCACGGCGACGCGCCCGCCGCCGACTCTCTCCTCCTGTTGCTCCTTGCCGTCGCTCCGCTCGCTCGCGCCGACAAGCATCGCCGAAACGCCGATAGCGATCTCGGACGGGCGCTCGTGTTTGCTTCGCTCGCGATCGCGCGACCCGTCCCCTCGGCGATAACGAGGCACATTGGGAACCACGTCGGCCGCGCCGCGGAAAGATCCACGTGTATCCTTGACATACAGACGCACGCGCAGACGCGAGCGAGCCTCTCGAGCGAGAAAAAACATACGAAGCACTCCAAATGACCGAAAATAATTCGCATTACACATGCCGATGAAGCCAGCTCGCGCGCGCCAGCGGAGAAACCTCTCTCGCTCTCTCGGCATATTTTTGCCGGGCGTCTCTATCTCTCGCGCGCGCGCTGACGTCAGCTGAATAAATCTCGCGCACACGCGTCCGGTCGATGGGTATTACCTTTCTCTTTGCTTCTTGTGTCTAACGCGGGAAAGAGAGAGAGAGAGAGCGTGCACGTGCGCGCGCGTCGCTGGATGATAATGTTATCGCATAGCTCGGGACGACTGCAATCGATTACAAATAAGAGCGAGGCGCGTGCAGGCGCCCGCCGCAGCCGCGATCATTACGGCCGGCTGGGCTCTGCGCCGCGGCTGGCTCTGATGGCAAAATCAATTTTTACGAGCCGAACGCACGTCATTTTTCCCTTTCTTTTTGCTGGCGACGCGACGGACGTTATTTTTCTTCTGTTCTTTTTGTTTTCTTTCCTTTCGTTCTTGACGAGAGAAGAGGAGTCCCCGCCGCCTGAACGAACGACCGCGGGCTGTTCGCGGTCCGTCTTCTTTTTCCACGGCGTTATCGGCGTGGCCACGGAACTCCGAGCTCGCCGAAAAATAAATGACGAGGCGCGAGGGGAAAAACATCCCAGAAATCGCGGCGTCTCTCGAGCGCGACCCCCCTTCGGGAATGCCGCGACTCGAGAGTAAGCAGATGCGCCCGCAATCGAAACTTGAATTACGACATCTTATTCCGAACTTGCGTGGGAGGGGGTGGGCGGCCGGGTAGTAGTCGAATTTGCCCTTGCAACAAGGTCGCGCACGCGTGCGCGCAGGTGCGACCAAGACAACTGACTTGGTCGCGATACTTTTGAATGGAACGCCTTTATGCCGGCACTCGTTCCATTACTCGGTCGAAAACAACGTTAGTCTTTGTGATTGAACCGCCGTGATTGGAATACATGCGGCCGTTCGTGGTTGTGCAGACGCTTCTTTGTTGGAAAGCTCTCTCGCGCAAAGGAAAGGAGGAGCGCTCGTAGCCGACGTGTATTTAACAAAAGCCACGAGGTGCGTCCTTCGCAACGTGCTTTTATAATTCGATCGATAGAGCTAATGCAATTTGAAGTGCGGCGCGCCGGCTTTTAAAATGTCATTTGATTTGACGTGTAGTTTTTTGAGAGAGAAAAATAAGAAGCATGTCATTCCACGCCTACCGCGCTATTAGCAATTAGGTTATTGATTGCTTCATTGTAAAAAAAGTTCAATTTTTATGGAAGAGTTTGTTTAAGGTTATCAAGGCTTTAAAAATGTAATTTTTACTCATGTGTGTAAGATATGTATGTATTTCGCTGTCAATAACTTGCGTTCTTTGCGGTAAAATTTCTCGCGTAAGGGCTTTTTGGATGTATTTTTACTACGTGGAGGGTGGAAAAAATAGTATATTATACAAGTGTGGGAAAGTAGTTTGTTGTCTCGTGTGGCGTTTACGCCCAAGCGAAGCAAGAGGCGATACCCTATTTTTCGATACGACGCGTAGAAAGTGCGATTTTCAACGCATGTTTTGCACCTAGCGTGCAAGAAAGACGCACATTGTACGCGGAATGTCAAAAAGATTCATTCAAATCCATCGAGTATTTCAAAAATAAAAATTGTAATTTTTAGAAATTATGAAATTTGATTTTTCAATTAATTTTGGTCTTACACGTGAGATTCTTCTTCACGATAACAAGAGCACATTGAATTGAATAGACTTGGAATTTGGTCCAAATGTTGTTTGTAATAAAAAAACGAACTGAGTTCTTTGTATAAGTCATTTGGGCCAATAGAATGGAAAAAATATATCTACGAAATAAATAAATTGGCAGTGTTTTTCCTTGGATTTTCGCGCGCGCGATTTCAATGACAAATCTTCTTTTTCGCGTCTGTATGAATCCAGAGATACTACGGAAATTCCAATCGCTAACCCTTTTCCCGTCAAGCAATCTACACGATAGCTTAATTTATTATTTAATATACTACGCTGAGATTTTTGGCGTCTCTGAATACGAATATGAAGTCAGATTTTGCAAATTCAAAATGGCAGATCCAATATGTCAAATGAAAAATGTAAAACCTTTATATTGATCAGCATACAAACTAACTTAAATACAGAGAAACATTCCTTTTAGAAAGGTGAATCCCTGTGAATTGAGAAAATGGCCAATTTTTCATAATTACCGTCGTAATATTGGCCAACCATTAACAATTTTGGTGAATCCAATGTTGGGAAATTAGCCAATAAATTCCAAGTATTTTTAACCTATGTTTATGAACAAGTTTTGCCGATAACGTATGACATTTACGAAAATACCCTTTATTACTTATAACAATAATTAATTTTTAGAAATTCATAAAACATCTTTATCACGCTAAAGTATAAATATTTGACTAACTAAAAATACAAAAATTCCAGTTTTGTGCGTAGTTTTAAAAATGTAATGAAACAAGAGAAATAGAAAAGGTAACCACTACAGTGGCTCCTGTGACTGAGAGGGTTAAATATTTACTGGGTTCACATGCGCTCGGCCCGCTTGTGTCTACGAAGCGCGCGCAAATTCTGGCTTTCGCGCCCGTGAGCGCACTCAAAAATTAGAAAATGTCCGCGGAATGTCGTCCGACGAAAGCAACCGTGTCGTCTTGAAGAGAAACCACAGGATGTACGTCGAGAAAGATTAAAAATAGACGAGAGAGCGAAATCCAGGGCAGTCTCCCAGTTGTCCCTGAGCCACCCTTGGCGTCATAGCCTCGAGCGAACACATCCACTTCAGCAGCCACTCGAGTTCCGCGCGTTTATCTCATCCTCGTTGCATAATGGAAACTCTCGTAGTGCCAGAGAGAAAAAAAGGAGAGAACGCGTCATCAATGACGTCATTCCAGCAAAAGCAAAATTATCCCTTTCCGCATCGATTATGGCCGCATAGTTATCGACGCTCACCCTCTATCTTCCTTCGAGAGAATTCGACATACACCTTAGCTTGGTTACTCGAATGAGATGGAAAATTATGTGACTCTACGCGCCCTATTACTTCTTGAGCAGAAGGTTAATGCATTTTATTCGATTGACGAATCGACCGCATTCGCGGTCTCGATTTTAAACCGCATCCACCCTTCGATTATGATCGCCAGTTTCGCCATTCGAGCCCTTCGACCGACAGAGAGGGAGGGAGGGGGAGGGGGAGAGAGAGAGAGAGAGAGAGAGAGAGAGAGAGGAGAGAGAGAGAGAGAGAGAGAGAGAGAGAGAGAGAGGAGAGAGAGAGAGAGAGAGAGCAATTAATTTCAGAGGCTGGCACGGTAGGGTTTGTATTTGCATTTGGCCAACGCAGTTGCCGTCGTGAGGCGTGGCTGCGAGATGCGACTGCCATTCCTCGATCGGAGTTGACACCCACCGTACTGTGCTTGCAGTCTGGAGCGAGCGAATAATGCGCGCGGCC